CCCTCCTCTGCTCTTTTCTGTAACTGTTGCTTCACAACACTTTACCCACGGCATGTGAAACAAATGCCACTAAAAAGAAATAGCTGTGAAACATGATCAGTTTTATTTATTTTTAAACTATGGATTTTATTGTGTAAGATGTCTTCTAAGGAGCAGATATGCAATATAAAATATTTACTCCTTGAAGGCATGACCGCATCTTCACTTTCATTTTTATTACTTTAATGAATAACAACATGAATTATTGTTCACATTACTCATACCCTATATTTTTTAAAAATTAAAAGATGTCATGTCTAGCTTATTAATGTAAGCTTCCCGAGGGAGGAAATTGTGTATTCCATTTATTATATAGAGTGCCAGTACCAGAACATGAAGGTCGATACATATGTGTATGTGTAATTTTTTTATGCCTCCAAGTTATCCAAATCAATATACCACTCCAGTCAGTGGCATGTTTCCCCAAAATTGTTAATATAACCAAAATAAGCTAAAGCCAAATTCTGAGAGAATAAAGCAACTTTTCTTGGGCTTTTCCATTTGATCTCCCTTCCAGTCTGTTCCTGACTGTTGCTGATCACTGCCTGCACAGACATCCTGCTGAGTCAAACTCTGAGATGAATTCTGACACAGCACCCCTTCAGTTCCTGGCACTGAGGCTGGCCAACCAGGCACCACCACCTTAAGCAGGCCAAACTACCTACAGAACTCAGATTCATTCATAGTTCAAATCACAGCATCTCCAGTACGTCTGTGTGAGCCAGGTTAGGGCAAAAAGCACTTTTATCCAGTTGGTCCTATGAAGGAATTAGTCCTCTCACTGTCTAGAAAAAAGAAAGGAGGAAGTTAAAACCAGAAGAGTTTTTATTGTTTCAATTCCCCTGCTGACAGTCTTGCCAGAGCTGATGGAACCCTGCAAAATTTCCAAAAGTCTAAATATCTGTCAAAAATACGTACATGTACTATAATACATTTTCTTTATTGCTGCCAATCTCATGTCTGCTAATGTAGGCTACAGGTTACCAAGTATCATCACTGTGCCTAAAACATGTATGTGTTCAATACATATTTGCTGAATTAATAAGCAAATAAATGAGGACCCTGAAGGGCTATCACAAATACTGAGAGATGAAATATAACATACCAGAGCCAAAATAATTACTCACCAAATAGATAAAGTAACTCTGCATTAAAAAAATCTCAGACAAATTAACAAAGGCTGACAAAGCAAGCATTCACCTTATGTGTATTTCAAGTACAAAGTAATCTCACCCAGATTCACTACCAGTATTTTTCAAAAAGCGTCAGGTACCTATAGTCGCTCTCTTTACAACCTCAAAAATGTTTCCTAGATGCTAGATATTAAAGCACAAGTAATCAGATAAGTTAAAATTAGGGCAAAATAAAGCCCCATCATCCTACCAGTTCTATTCAAAACTAACCCTGAAACATGCCACAAACTGCTGCCTATCTTTCCCCATAAAAGACAGGAAATGTCACCTGTCTAAACACCACAGATATTGTCAAAACTCAGGCAAAAGACCAGAGTTCTTATATCAGAGTTACTGTGTCTGAGCCTGGTGGAACAAGAGAAAAGGGACTTAAATTAGCACATTACAGTACTTACAAGTACTGCAGTCTTCCAGACCACAGAATGGGTTTAGTTGAAACGAGTCATGGGAATTATCCACTACCCGCACCCCCCTCTCCCAATCTTTAAAAGGCAAATGAATGAACATTATGACCTTTTAAGGTAGCTTTCTCTCTCAGGGTCCTGATTCCTCTTTGGAAAATTCAGAAGTCAAATTTACCTAATACCCATATAATTCTCTTTGATTATATTTCAATTACAGGTACAATGATGATGATGATTAAATAGTAGCTAACATTTCTAAATCGCTTGCTATGTGCCAGAGTTCCATTATGTATATTAGCTCATTTAATCTTACAGTTTACAGAAAGGAAACTGAGACACAGAAGTTAACTTGCCCAAGGCCAGAGAGAACTGGGAAGTGGCAGGCCAGAGATCTCAATCCAGGCTACCTCAAGGAGGCTAGCTATCTGGTAATAGAGCTGTTTTCATTGGATGAAAGGACAGAACCAACGTTTGGGCACTTAACTGATACAAAAAGATCAGGTTCCTGCCTGTGGTCAGCAGATGCCAAGGTAATTCCAGGGTAAAGTTCTTAGAGTGCCACCTGGACCACCTGTGTCTGAATGACTTGAGTGTCTGTTAACTTTAGGGGTGGAGCCCAGGAATGTGCCCGTCCCTCAGGGGATGTCACACCCACACGAAAACTTAGAGAACCACTGCTTCACTGCCAAGGCTGCTACATCCCCCAGCAAAACCCACAGGGAACAGAGAACACAATGGCCAATAATGGGACAGAATCCTGATCTTTACTCTGTAATGATTTCCAGATTTAGACGTTGGAACACCTGAAAGTTAAGTCATTCTTGAAGTTCTAACAAATTTAATTCTATCAAACTAGGCATAATTTCATTATAGGAAAACATGAATACATTAATACAAACTTTAAAAAGTATAACCATGTTTTCTGATAGTCAATGTCTCCACAGTAAAAAAGACCATTTCTGGGCTTTTCATCAACATTAATTTGCTATGTCCACTTATTCTGTCCTGCTGAGGGCAAGCAGAAACCAAAGGTCTGAAAATTCCAAACAATTATTTTTAAATCCCTGCAAAATTATGAAGTCTGGCACCTCCATGTCAAGTTTTCTCCAAAACTGAGCCTGAGTATCACTGCTTTAAAGTGGGATTTACCACCCATCAGCCTCTAGCCACAGATCCTCTACAGCAGGACTTCTTACCTTGGGGTCCATGAACTTGAATTGAAAAATTACATTCACATTTTCACTAACCTGTAGTTGAAATTTAGCATTTTCTTCAATTATAAATGGAGGCAGTTACAGCCGCATTATTCGGTGTCTTTGTCACAAATATAAGTCACTGATTTTTTTCATATCACATTACAGTTGTTAAACATCTTTAAATGTTGTTAAACCTTCATCACTACTTCAAAAGCACAATAATAATTACAGCGATGGTGCAATTCAATGAGCTAATATAAAAGTATACATATTACTAATATCACTTTTTAAAAATGTTCTTGATAACTGTAGTTCCATATAATTGGTTTCCTTCATAACCCTATGTACTTTATGCATTTGAAAACACAATTGCAAAAAAAGGTCCACTGACTTCAGAGGGTGTGCGGACACACACTCTCAAGTCAAAAACCTTGACTTGGGTTGGGGCACAAAAATAGCTTTAAGACACTGATCACCTACATCACATGTGTGAGTTAAGACATAGTTAACTGCTTATTCTGTTACTACTGGGATTATTAGTTTGCATTACACTACTAAGGCCACACTGCCTGTGTGCCTGGCACAAAAGAGCTCTCATACAATTGCTAAATCAAAGGACAAACTTTGGGGTAAAGTTTCTGCAACTGAGGTTTGACACCAATTACGCCACTGACTCTGCCAGCAGCCTAACTGTGGCTCAGTTTGTCCTCTCTTAGAAATGTAACTACCTACTGCTTACTCAGATTAACCCTGGAAGAACTTGCAAGGGGGAAAAAACATCTACTTGTGTGAGACTCAAGCCCTTTAAAAGACATATTTCACTTTTTAAAAAACCTGTATCCTTAAACAATAGTTCTAGTGCTCTTAATTTCACGAATGTGGTTTCAAATCAGGACCATGAATTCCATTCCCAGCTCTGCTGTCCACTATGGCCGTAAGAAAGAGGAATTAGAGAAAAAACAAAGTTATGTCTTGCTCAGGACTTTCTGGTTTCTGTGGGTAAGGGGTGGACCTGAAAATCAGTGTGCACTCCACGGTATTTGTCTGTAAATTGTGTACATGTAATGTCTGGGCAATGAGAGTTCCTCACTTTTATCAGTTTCTCAAAGGGGATTCCAGAGAAGTTAAGTCCTAACTCTAGAGAAACAGCTGTGCTGCTAAAGAACTGCAGACAAACAATGTTCAAATGTTTTTTATGGGACCTTCACCTTTCCTACAACAAACTGTGGGTCAGAAATAACAAGACTGACTGACATGTGCTAGTCAAAAGGACCAGTCAGGACCCAATCCTAGCCTGCCTGGCCTTTTCCCCTGCACATGACTGTCTAGGAGGAGTGCTTTCAACACACTAGTCAAGGCTTTCAATTGCTCTGATCCTTAACAATCCAACATTCAGAAGCTTCCCCCTGCTACCTGTGCTTCTACGAAGGCTTCTCAAATTGATGGATACTTACCATTCACGGTAATACATCTGTATTAGTAAGAAGCCAAGGAAAGATACGGCAAGTGTCATCCTTCTCTATTCAGAAAACAGTGGCGGGATCAAGGCTACAGGCTAAGATTTCCAAAAAGAGATCGCTTTTTAAAGGACAGATATGAGACAGCAATGGCAATCCTGGCAGAGGGACTGGGTTAACCATGAACAGTACCTGGGGCTGGGAGTAGGGGGAGGAGAAGCCTGCGCGGTAAACAGCCCTAAGAGAAATCCAGCCTGGCTAGGAGTGACCACCAACTGAATCGCGAGCATTATCCTTCACAGTCATCACTCTCTCTTTCCTCCTCCTTCTCCGCCCCCCAACTGAAGCAATGCGGCAGGAGGGAAGGGAGACAGGAGTGATAAATGGCGTAGCACTGGGGTGTAAATTCGGGTTTGAGGTCTGTTTCCGCCACGAAATAGCTGTCTGACTTCGGCAAGCCACAACATCGTGCCTCGGTTTCCCCATCAGTAAAATGGGGGTACGGGGTAACTACTCTCCTGACTACACAGGAATGGTGCCGGGGTTAACTGCAAGTGCGAAACCCTCGGCTCAAGACCAGACTCAGAGGAACCGCTCCGTGACGCTAAGCCAAGTCCGCAGGAGGGTCCTGGGGTCTGGGCTCCAGCCCGGAAAGGGCGCTCCAGGGGCCCGCTCCCCGTCAACTGGGTTCCGAGCCCCTGCCCGGCCCACCTTGTTGTTGTACTCCTCCACGAAGCTGCCCAGCGCCAGACGAAAGCGCTTGTCAGGCCGCACGCTCCAGTTCATGGCGTAGACGGTCCAAGGCGCTTCATACTTGTAGATCTCCTTCCGTTTGCCGTGCAGGGACATGGTGGCTGCCGTGGGGCCGCAGTGCGGGCCGGGTCAGCAGCGGACTGAGGCGGACCGGGCGCGCGGCGGCCGAGGAGCCGGACCTGGGACCCAGGGGTCCGAAGGGAGGCGGGGCCGGGGCTGGCAGGGACAGCCTAGCCCGGAAGCGGGGCCTCGGCAACAGACAACCACAGCCTCGGCCCGACCCCCACTTTCAAACCTGCTTGGGCTCGGACAACAACCACCTTCCGTTTGAGACACTGCTCCCGCCCTTCTCGAAACGGAAGCCACGCGTTCTCCACAGTGGTGCCGGTGGTTGGCTGCTTGGCACGTCATTTAGGGAAGCACCTTCTCTTCATTGGCTATTGTACCTATAGCTTTTGAAACTTCCTCGCTATTGGTGCAAATGTTTGTCATCCCAATTACTCGTCCAGCTTAATTACAGGGGGCAGGCTCTTTCTCTGTCCCATAGGTCATTGGCTGATCAAGATGTCAGTCAGAGAGCTAGCGCAGTGCGGGTGAAAGGGGGCGTGGGTGGTTTAGCGGCTGTAGTGGGGAGCAGCAGGCTTTCAAGTTCTAGGCCAAGTCTGAGAGTGAAACCCCTTGTGTGACCTCTTTTTGTTAGGTAGGATAGATCGTAAACCAAGGCAGGCAGGAGGAGGGAGGCCTGTCTCACTCACTAACTCAGCAGTCCTGCCCCCGGTTTGACAATATCGCCAGGTGCACGGGAGGAGGGAAGCCCTTGAAATTCTATGTATCCTTTCCACTGTCTGGGAAACCGTGTCTTCATTCCAAGGCATGGAAGGGGAAAGAGAGGGGGGTCCACAGTGCCTCCCAAATGAAGCAAATAAAACAACTTTGGTTAATTCCCTACCTCTGGTCACTATCGGGTGTTACAGGGAGTTCCTAATCCTTACATAAAGAGCCCATAAATAACTTTGGGTAACTGCCTCAACTTTAATTAACTGCCTCCTGTCTCACATTTGTTTTATAACAAAATGAACAAATGTGGCCTGCAGCAAGATACGGATTTGGGCTAACAGACTCCCACACATACCTAAGTTTGGGTAATCACGTCCCCTGGGGAAAGCTGGCACCACCTTTCAATCAATATGTAACTTCTTCACCCCCATTACCCCACTATATAAGTCCTCAGAACAAAGGACCTGATGTGTTGCCACCCTTGCTTTTGTCACCCATGCTCTTGCCTTTCTCTCCCACATCAGCAAAGCCTGTTCTCTTCCAAGAGAAGGTGTCACCAATAAATCCTGCCTTCATGCTAATAGGGTTGCTGATCTGTACATCTTTACTGTGTCAGCAAAAAACAAAAATAAAAAAAACAAAACAGGGTTTCTCCCATAATACTTTGATTTCCACTCTGCAGCTACTGTCCTGAGTGGCTTCTCCACGCTGTCCACTAAAAATTAAAATCTTGCCTTACTCAAGGACCTGCTGCATTTTGTGGCACTGAGCCTCGCAGCCTGGCAGTCTGTCCCTCGAGCCAAGGGGGAACCACCTTCTCTCCTCACTCATGCTAACACACCCTTTAAGACAGGAGTTATTCTCCCATTACCCCAAGGGCTGGCCATTGGCTTACCTTTTCAGACTGACCCACCGATGTGCTCAGGGCCAAGCCACCTGCAGTCAGACCTTCCTGTGCTTTCCTGTCTATCTAGAAATGTTAGGCATTCCGGGGTGGGTTTTCAGTGGGCAGCTCCCTGACCAGCTTGGCTCTAAGTTTTTTAGATCCCCTACCATCCTTTTCCTGCCTCGCCTCAGATCCCAAAGCAAAAGCTAATCAAACCCTAAATTTATGTGTTCTGAGTTTGAAACAGAGAAGGGTTCAAATCTTTATGATTTAAATGGTTTCCAATCCTTTGCTTTCAACAACATTAAAGGAGGATTGTATTGACTTGTTAGATACCATTAAACATAGTTTTTAGTGATAAATGTGATTGTTATCAGACAACTCAAAGATGAAATTGCTATATATAGCAAACCTCTTATAGTCCTATCTATGTGTGTGAACAAGTTTTGTCTGTCCTTAAGCTTGTTTTTCATAGGAAAGAAAAACAGGCACAAAATTGTTGCTGAGCCTTGTCTTATTCTAATACAAACATGGTATTCATCCACAGCCAAACTGATTGAGAAGAAAATGCTCTCTTTTAAGAGATGAATTTCTTTTTTTCGTAAAGATTTTATTTATTGATTTTTAGAGAGGGAAGGGAGAGAGAAAGAGAGAGAGAGAGACATCAATGTGTGGTTGCTGGGGGTCATGGCCTGCAACGCAGGCATATGCCCTGACTGGGAATCGAACCTGCGATGCCTGGTTTGCAGCCCGCGCTCAATCCACTGAGCCATGCCAGCCAGGGCAAGAGATGAATTTCTGATAAAATTTTAGTTTATAAAAATTTTAATATATATTTATGTTGTTTTGGACAACTCTGTACTATTAAGTGTAACCCTTGCAGGGGTGCCCAACCTTTTGGTGTCGCTGGGCCATACTGGAAGAAGAGTTGTCTTGGGCCACATGCTACATACATGAACACTAATAAAAACTGATGAGCAATAAAAAGGGTTTTAAGTACATTTACAATTTTGTGTTGGGTCTCATTCATAGCTGTCTTGGGCCGCATACAGCCCGTGGGCCGTGGCCCACCCCTGAAGGCCTTAGTAAGATTACAAAAAATTAATTTAAAAATTTTAATTTATATATTTGTGTTGCAAATAGATATGATAAAGTTATGAATAATATAGACTTTAAAGCATGAAAATAAATTATATGTAGCATAACCTGGGAGGGACAGAATGGAACTATGAGGAAAAAAGGAATGTTGAAGAAGCGCTTGCTCTAGTGTTTTTAAAACGAATGATGTTGGCTCTTAAATCACTGCTATTTGGATCAAAATGGATGAATATAAAAGAAACGGTTTATAAAGCGTCAATATTTACAACACACTGGAAACTGTATCCTTTACAACTATTTAAACTTATTAATGCAATACTTCAGATGTCAAGTTATAAACGTGTGAGGAGGCAAATACATTTTCAAAATTCTTTTAGGGAATATTGGAGCAAAAAGGACTGAAGGCCAGTGACTGGGTCTTTTCTGGACAACGGCTGATGGCAGTGGAGCGGTTAACTGCCCATATCCTCAAGTCAGGTCACTGGGTTGAAATTACAGCCTTCTTTTCCTGTATTGTGGGCAAGGTTTTTTTAATCAAAGCATAATTTACACATAGAAATGCACATATTTTCACAACACGCTCATGGGTCAGGACCTATGACCATGACCCCCCCTCCCGGTGTCCCCCTAGTGCTCGTATATGTCGTTTTGTCTCCCTGTCTGCTTTTGATACCATTTCTCTAAAATGGGAACAAATAACACTGACCCCTTAAGGGTTCTGAGAGGATTGGATAAGCTGACATCTGAGAGCAGTCAGCACAGTGCCCTGCACAGGGTGAATGCTGTGCCAGTGTTGGTTGCTGTCATGATTCCCAGTGACCACCCAGCCAGTGCCTCTCTGCTTCCCTTCACCCCAGCTTGGCTAAGAGTCCGATGGTCCCAGGGTTCCTGGGTCCAGCAGGGCTACCTTCAAGTCCCCCAACGCACAGCTCTTTGTGAGAAGGGCTTGGAGAAGACAACTGACGTTGGGGTCATGGCATAGTCAAGGACATAACCACCCTCAGGTAAATGACACACTCAGCTCAAGGTGAAATGTGCAGACTTTATTAGCTGTGATACACTCCACTGTCCTCTAGGGTCCCAAAGGTCATCACAGAATCATCAGCAGCTGAGCAGCTGAGGGCTGGAGCACTGTGCCCTGATGTGTCCACTAGAAAGGACACATTCATCTCTAGCCTGGTCACAGGCTCTCGAAGCTGTGATCAACCTTGGGGACTGGGTCATGAGGTGGTGCACAGCTCTGAGCCAGGAGAGGGTTGCACCCAGCCCACAGCAAAGGTCTCACTCACACAGAAGATCAGAAACTTTTCTTTTCCTCACTGACACCTTCTATCCTGCAAGTTACCTCCATGCCCAAGACTCTTGCCCACCTTTCCCCAGGCTTGCTATCAAAACAGAGGCCTGGAGAAGGCTGGGAAAAGTCCTGAGCCTCCTCACCCCTGCCATCTTGGGTCACCTGGGTTAGCAGTTTGTAGCTACTCTAGGAGAAGAGTTTTCATTGGTCCATTTTGGCAGCTCTCCATTTTCCCCAAATCCTTAAGTCTCACCGCACCCATCTTCAACACCCTACTTCAACTTTAAGTCTTTTGTCTTGGGGTTCAGTGGCTTTAACTCCCTGAAAACCCAGGATCTGAGCCATGTCTCTGGAACTCCAGCTGCTTGGGGACTGAGCCAAGGTATTCTGGAAGGGAGGGGAAGCGGGAACCACAGATGAGACCCCGTGCCTCCAGGGGATGCAGCGTTGAGGCTAGCGATGACAGGAGCCTGTGAGGCTGCTCCAGTTCCAAAGACAGTGTCGGCGTTTTGGCCATGACCATGGCCAGGTGAGGCATCCTGGAGGGGGTGTGCCTGCACTTTTTCTCTAAGTTACCACCGCTTGGGGCCTGAGAGGGGCAAGAAAGAGGGAATGGGGGAAGGAATGCAGCTGCCTCCAGGCAAGCCCCTGGGGGTCCCCTCACCTGCTCACCTGTGCAAGGGGCAGACCACCCTGTGGCTGACTAATTCCTGGACTCTGAGTTGCTGAGGCCGCAGGAAACAAAGCCAGGTCATCAGAGGCTGGGGCTCCCAGAATGTAGCCGGTGTGACCCCGGGGCAGGGGCTGCCGAAGGAGTTGCAGGATGCGGCTGAGGTCTGAGGACATGCGGGACTCCAACCTGCCAGGCAGGACAGAACCCCACAGTCAGGGTCAGGATTGGGGCTGGCAAAGCAGTTCAGATCCTGAGGACAGATCCCAATTCTGTAGCCTACAGGCTGTTCCTGCTGGTTGGGATGGCAGCCTGGGGCCTACCTGAAGCTATTTCCCTGGTACCATCCATGGCCTTTGCCCAAATTCCCCTGAGCACACCCGAAAATAAGCAACCAGGCACCATACACACATTATCTGGTCCTCATCTAGAAGCTTTGACACGGGTATTCAGATTGTCCCCATTTCATGAAGGGCAAACTCAGGCACAGAGTGATTAAGTGACTTGCCCACACTCTTGCTGGTTAAATGCAGTGCTGGAATTTGAACCCAGGATTATACTGCCCCTAAACCCTAACTCTGTCACCACAGCCCTGTCATCCACAGACCACACCCC